GAGAAAAGCCCTGCTAAAGCTTGTGAAATGCAAAGACTCTTCTCCTCTGAGGCCAAGGACTGTTGCTTGAACCAGGGTTGGTAAGTGTGTGTGTGCAGCCTGTCCTTCTTTAGCGGCTCAAAGGCAAATCCAAGTGCTGCAATGCAGCAGCTGCTGCTGAGGAATCCCCCCTGGTTTCCACAGCTGAGCCAGGCTGTGGCGAGCTGGCACGTTCCCTCAGGAGTACTGGAACTTTCATGGGAAGAGTTGGTTGTTGCTGTAGTGGAGTTTGCAGACACTATTCCCTTATGAATGATCAAGTACAATAGGCTGTTTAATATAAAAATGCATATTTCTTAGATTCTCTTTGTAAAGCAGTGTTTAATTATTTTTCCTTAGAGTGGCTATTTGTTTCTGCAGTGAGCAGAAACTTCATGGCAGCTTTAGCTGGCATTTATTTTGAAGGACTTTTAAGTCCTTTACGTTTGAAAATAACAGATCAGTACAAGTCTATTACTATCATTCAGTAATTTGGAATGAATAACCTAATGAAGTTTTGGCTCTTGGATATAGAAAGATATGCATATTAGTATGACACTCTGTTCATGAACTGTGTGCATATTATGTGGATATATTTACATTTCTGGCATAATATGTTCTAATGGAAAAGACCAGAGCAGCAGCAGTCAATGGACTATTATGTGAAAGTAGACAGGATTTACTCACCAAAGATGTAATTGGTTTTTACATTACTTCAGCATTTTCAAGATGCAAGACATAATAATAACTTCAGATGCTATACATAGTTAATTTTTTTAAATGTATTCCACCTTCCATACTTCAAGGTCACAGTGAGATATTAGCTATTCCTTTTGTTACCATGTAAGTAGCATGGACCACTTATAAAGGAAAACCTCTGTTAGAACAAATGAATACATAACTAGGTGATCTTAAGAAATAGTAATCTAAAATAGCTAGTGAATAAAGCAGAGCTTGAAGAGAACAAGTCTTTTTGTTTGTTCATTTGTTTCCAGATGGTTAAAGGTGTTTAAAATGCATTATTTGTGCCATATACTTATGACACAGTAATTTTGAAATTATTTTTGTAAATCTCATTTGAAAAAGCGATGCATTAAAAAAAAATAATATTCAAGTGGAACCAAATGTCACCTTGACTAAGGCTGCTCAGTGCAGCATATAGATGAAATGCCCATCTTATTCTGACTAGCAACCTCTTTTTTTTTTTTTTCCTTTTGGTCTGGAAAGGGGAAAAAACTCACACTGTCTCATGACTGCAATGCTGAATAGAGCAAAATTGAAAAACTCTGCAGGATTCTTCATTTTCTTAGCTGTAGGTATGTTTATTGAGGTCATTTATTTCTGGATAGATCTGCATTACCCTTTGACAAACAAGTTTGATATAATCTTTCCTAAAAATCCACTTACCCTTGTAAATGAAGAAGTCTGCTTTTTGCTATGCTAATATGTCTTCAAATTTGGTAACTTTGAACATTAGTAGAATCTCTTATAGTATATAGTATTTTGAGACACATATTTATAGACATCAGCAATTATTATTAAAAAATAATAGTGTCTACAGATGTCCCCTCTTGTTAACTGTATCATACTTTTACTAAATAAGCATGAATTATTCCACCTAGAAGACAACAAATGTTAATTCACTGCTTGCAGTTTATTAGACTAATACATCTAAACTACTTTGAGCAATAAATGATAAGATTAAGGCTTTTGATGTTTAGCGATATCATAGGGCATTGTGTGCTGGAGGTAGATTCACAAATACTCTTTGCTAAGGGAGTATATTTAAAGTGAAATCTGGATTAATTAATTGCAGTCATTAACTAATGTCAAAGGTGTACCAGTGCTGTTGATTCAGAGTGTTATCAAGTGCATACAAATAGAAAACACTGTTTACGTAAGTATTTCTTCAAATAAAACCACAAACTTTCCTTTGAAATTGCAACCATACCATGGCCTAAATTTTTCAGACTTAAATCTTTGTGAGCTAAAGTTCATTACAGAGGTATTTAAGTATTAAGAAGAAGCAAGGGATCAGTGAAGCAGCTGGGTGATAAATAGCATGAGAATGCACTGGCTGACAAATCCATCTGTTACCTGTGTTTGGGAAAGGAAATATTCTGTGTAGTTTTTTGTATTTTAAAGAGTGAAGGGAAGTTTTAACATGGCCCAGGCTGCTGTGTCTCGGGATCTGTCTACCAGGTGAGGTACTGTTCTTGATTTTGTTTTCTAATTTACCACCAAGATTGCCATTTTTAGTAAAACCAAGAAAAGTGAATGCGAGAGCTTCAGACAGCCCTTCCTGCAGTATTTCATAAACCCTGCCAGCTGCTAACTTTGCAAATATGGAATGAAAATTACAGCACAGGAATAGTGTGAGTTAGATTGGATTTGGTGCAGCCCAGAGAAGCTCTGACGAGCTATTACAAAACAATAAGAACAACTTACTGGCAACAACTTGCCTTTTGAGAGGAACAACATGATGGAAGACTTGTGATCCATGCAACTGTTTAATGGACTGTCATCCATAATGTGAACTCTTGGTTCTGTCTTGGAAAGCTGAATACAGAGACTATTTCTTATACTAGAAAATAGAGTTTTCTGTACAAATAAGAGTTTTTATTAATTGTATTTGTTAACTTCCTTTTTATAAGTTTCTGCTGAGGAGCCTTGCTTAAGCTATATTTTGTAGTGCCACTCTGGGTTTAGGAAAAAAACCTTTATCTTGTGAAGCAGCAGGCTGATCCTGGCTAATGATCCATCAGAACAGAGAGGTTAGTAAGGGCCATGGCAGCCAGTGGCTCTGGAGAAATTTTTGACTCACAACTCAGTCAAAGTGCACTCTGAAGTAGAATCTCTGCCAACATTTAAATTATACTGCACTCACCCCCTCGCTTCTGGGCTGAAAGTGCTCAGGGCAGTGCCCCTGTCTCCTCATGCCCTATTCCTGCTGCTCTGGTAGGATCTGGAGTAGGTGGCAGCACAGAACTGACCTTTTTCTTCTTTTGCCTATTTTTTTTTTTTTTTTAAAGCTTTTGATTTGCCACCCTCTGTGTTTTGGAAGTGCTCTGACTCCTGTGTGTGTACTTCTGAGTTCTAATGTGTGAACCATGCAAATATATGGAGATGTCCCAAAATGGATTTTAGCCTTCCTCCCCCCGTTTTTTTTTTGTTTCATTTCCAATATCTAATATATTTAATTTTCTGCCCTCTCTGACTCCCTGAAGTTGGAAAATGTGTGGAATCAGATGCATACTGTTGAGCATTAGCAAGTGTCTGGCTCTGAAAACTCCAGCATCTACTGAGGCAGAAAAACTGCCAACCCTGCTGTATTAACTGTTATACACAAATAGTCCCATCATAGTGCAGTCAGGAATTGTGACATATACACGAAAACTGTTAAAGCCCATAATTTATT